TTCCCGAACCTTCCCAAACCTTCCCAACCCTTCCCTTCCCAAACCTTCCCTTCCCTTCTCTTCCCAAACCTTCCCTTCCCAAACCTTCCCAAACCTTCCCAAACCTTCCCACAGGGAATTCCGGAGGGGGAAAAGGGGGGGTTGGGAGAGACAGGGGGGGGATTTTCTGGGAATGCTCCTCTCTCCCGGATTTCTCCCTCCCCCCTCGCGGGGGATTCATCGATGGAACGGCGGGAGCGGAGTTTGGGGCTGGGAATTCCCGGGATTTGGTGGGGAAAAAAGTGGGAATTTTGGGGGGGGTTGGTAGGGAAAAAAGTGGGAATTTCAGGGATTTGGTGGGGAGAAAAGTGGGAATTTTCAGGGGTTTGGTGGGGGAAAAAAGTGGGAATTTTGGGAATTTGGTGGGGAAAAAAGTGGGAATTTCCATTTGGAGGAGGGGGGGAAGCGGGAATTTCAGGGGTTTGGGGATGATGGGGGGAAAAAGTGGGATTTTTGGGGATTTGGTGGGGGAAACAGTGGGAATTTCCATTTGGGATGAGGGGGAGAAAAAAGGGGGATTTTCAGGGCTTTGGAATTTCAGGGATTTGGTGGGGGGAAAAGTGGGAATTTCCGGGATTTGGTGGCTGCTCCAGAGGGATTTTTCCCTTCTTCCCTTGGATGTGTGGGAGTTACAAATCCTACCCCGAAATATTTGGGGAATGAGGTGCTGGGGGATCCCCACAGGGGGTGCTTTGACCCTGGAATTCTGGATTTATCCCATCCCATCCCTCATCCCAGAATCTCCCGCTGAGACCCTTCCCCACCAGATTCCCAAGGTCTGAGGGTCCTTTTCCCCTGGAATTCTGAATCCCCTCGGGATTTAACCCATCCCAGAATCTCCTTTGACAACCAGATTCCCTCTTTTCCCCTGGAATTCTGAATCCCCTCTGGATTTATCCCCGTCCCTCATCCCACAGTGTCCTGATGAGATTCCCAAGGTCTGAGGGTCCTTTTCCCCTGGAATTCTGACTCCCCCTGGGATTTATCCCATCCCACAGTGCCCTTATGGGACCCCCCCTCTTCCAGCCCCGTTTTCCCTGGAATTCTGAATCCCCTCTGGATTTAACCCCTTCCCTTATCCCAGAATCTCCTGCTGAGACCTTTGACCACCAGATTCCCACTTTTCCCCTGGAATTCTGACTCCCCCTGGGATTTAACCCCTTCCATTATCCCAGACTCTCCTGCTAAAACCTTTGACCACCAGCCCCATTTTTCCCTGGAATTCTGACTCCCCCTGGGATTTATCCCATCCCAGAGTCTCCTGCAGAGATTCCCAAGGTCAGAGGGTGTTTTTCCCCTGGAATTCTGAATCCCTTTGGGATTCGACCCCATCCCTCATCCCACAGTGTCCTGATGAGATCCATCACCACCAGATTCCCACTTTTTCCCTGGAATTCTGAATCCCACTGGGATTTATCCCTGTCCCTCATCCCACAGTGCCCTCATGGGACCCTTCCCCACCAGCCCCATTTTTCCCTGGAATTCTGACTCCCCTCAGGATTTAACCCTTTTCATTATCCCAGAATCTCCTACTGAGACCCTTATCCACCAGATTCCCTCTTTTCCCCTGG